CCCCAAAACCCCAAAACCCCAAAACCCCAAAACCCCATAAGCAATAAAATATTTGTATTAGTGATTTCAAACATTAAAAATTAATTATTTATATAATTTTTGAACTATTAGAGAGAAATGTCAAACAATTTAATTGATGCTTCATCAAGCCAACTTGACGTTGAGATTTTTGCATTTAACGAGCAGGCTTGGATCAATGGTGAGATCAGAGACATCTTAGAGACACATGGCCAAAGACAATTCCTAGTTAGACTCTGCCACCCTCAATTGTAGGTCTTATTTAATTAGAAAAGTGTTAATTGATACTTAAAGTGGCGGTATGGAGCTCAATGCTAACCAACATTAAATCAGATGGAGGACCAGTTTGCCAACAAACACTAGCGATGAGGAGTATCAAACCTACGATCTTGTAGAAGCTTATTGCAGATCAAATAGAGACGAAATTGACGAGTCAATCTAGCTCGTGCATGGCTGGAGAAGAGCTACAGTCAAGAGCGTGAAAGGTAAGTTGCTGCTAATGATTCGCGATTCTACAATGATATTTCCAAATAATTACAACATATCTTTTAACACCATTACAGGCAATTATGCATATCTTGAATTCGATAGAGTACATCACCCAGATCAGCTATCATAAATCTATCCAATAAGGCTTATCCGAAGATTGAGCGAGTTGACAGGACCAAATCCTGATTTATTCTACAGAACAGAGGTGCTTATTCATCCAGACCTGCATTAATGGGTGTTCAATCTAGATAAAAATGAGTCATCGCAAGAACTTCTAGCATTCAATGACTAATTAGCAATCATTACTAGGACTTCATAGGTTTATGGCATTAGTTTGAGTCAGGATAAGCAAAGACTTGTAGTTCTAGGACCTCAAGAGAGACTAAGATCAGCCACTTTAGCAGTAGATATATTCCTAAATCATCAAAGATAAGTCATTAACATCGACGCTACACCTTAATAAAGCAAAACAAACCCTGCTTCTTAAAAACAATAGGCAAGAGTTAAAAATGAAATCTTTGTAGACAGTAGTCTTGTAGGCTTGATCGTCGGCTAAGGTGGAATGTCTCTAAAGAGAATATAGGATTAATACAATGTTAAAATCGAGGTTGAGCAATAAAGAAGAGATAATTAACTAAAGAAGGTGACTATCTACGGTAATTCTATAAAGGAAGTCCAGGCAGCCTCCAGTGAAGTAAACATTATGAAAGTCTTAATTGACGTGCCAAATGAGCACCTAGACTATGTACTTGGCAAGAACGATGAGAATATTGAGTACTTTACCACTAAGTCGTGTGTTATCACTCTTGATGTGACAAAGAAGGATGATTTTAATCACAACCTCGTAGCTGTTGGAACTCAATAGGCTGTTGATGACCTTAAAATGATAGTCAATACACATCTGTAGTATTTCTCTCAATATCAGTAAGATTATTACTTAAAATTATTCCTATAGACAAAGAGAAACTCTTAAGCAAAATACTGTTAAAAGAGCCATGAACGTCACAAGCGAGCAGGTGCAATAAAATAATGGAAACGAATAATAGCATTAGCCTGTGCAATAGCAATAAAATAGAAGAGGAGGACATTATCAGGAAAACAGTAACTACTAGCAGCAGCAAAACTCGAATTAATTCTACAGAAAGAAGTGAAATTTAATTCAATTTTAACATCTCTAAATAATCCTGAAATTATAAGCCATGGGGTTTTGGGGTTTTGGGGTTTTGGGGTTTTGGGGTTTTGGGG